CCTTTTGGGTGAAGTGACTGAAATAGCCTGCTCTCCTCACAATGAAGAACCAATTAATTAAAATCCAATGAAATTAATATTCGAAGCCATGTGAAGTTGAAATCTGGTCCAGAGGAGAGAAACACACCACTAAAACAAGATGATTTAGAATAATAATTTCAAGTGCTTTGTTAGTCTAAAAATAGAATTTTTCTTTATCATCAAATTATGGTTTTCAATTTTTTATCCATAAAAGAGGATTAGGGTTTAATGGACTAGGTGGCAGCCAAGTCAGCAAATTAAATATTCTATGCCTTGAATTTGGTAATTTTACTTTTGAAGACTCGTGTGTCCTAGATGTAACCTACATGCTATGAATCATTTATCTAAAGCAAATGGGTTGAATTCTTAATGAAGACTTCAAGGTAAATAACAAAATAAAACTAATGATCGATTCTTCCTCAATTTCTTTCCCTATTTTCTTACTTTCTAATATTTGTAATTTGGTTTTAGTGAGGTTGGATTCCTCTAATTTTGGATCTTGGAGATTTAATGTGGTTGCAATCTTGAAGGCTCACCCCTTTGGACATATTGACAGTTCAGTTTCAGTACTAGAAAAAAATTTATTCGTTCTTGGGCTAGAGCTCTAAAAACTGTCAGTGAAAGTTTCCTCAAATGGAGCCCACGTGACCGGACCTTAATCACTCTAATTAACGTGACTCTTTCTCCGTCTACCTTTGGTCACACTGTTGGCTCTTCTTTCCCGCAAAGAATTGTGATTATTTCTAAAAAATTTATTGCCTCGCTTACTAAAATTTTCTATTTCTTCCTGTTGCTATGATTGTGAACATAAAAATTTCAAAGGACATTTTGGCAATCAGGGTGGTGTGGGTGGACCCTATCACTTTTATGGAATTACATGACCAGTAACTTTGTGGATGTACATAGTTCCACATACAGAGAGAAAGTGAAAGTGTGAATGTCACTCAAATCATACAGACGCACAATCATAAACTCAATAGAGACTCTGTAATGAGGAGCATATACTCGTTCTAAACGCACCAACAGACACGTTCTTCAGAGAATGGAAGAAGGAGAAGATTCGTTCATAGAAATGAAATGGAGAAATGCTATGTGATATGGGAAAGAAGGAAAGACTTTGTTCTGTGTGGACAGAAAAATCTTACCTAGTATGATTATTTTGTCTCCCAATATACTTACTTCCTCCATATTTATAAAACACTAAAATCCTAAAACTATAGTATAGTTGTGGATACAGACTTTGTAGATAGTTAAGTATGATTGTCACTCAATACATGCAGATGCACGATCAAAAACTCGATGTAATTGGAAGCACATATATGTGCTAGATGCTCCAGCAAATACGTTGTACGGAGTCCGAAAGAAGAGAAGAGTTGTATTGAGGAAGGAAAATAGAGTAAGACTATGTGATTTGGGAGGAGAAGAAAAGACTTTTATGATTATTTAGTCTCCAAATATACTTACTCCTTCTATATTTCAAAAACCCTAAAATTTCATTTTGGATTTTTAATCTCATTTTTCTATATTACATCTTAATATTTTAACAATAAATTACTTTGTGCTTTGTTAGTCTACAAAGAGAACTTTTCTTCATCATCCAATTGTTGTTTTCAATTTTATTTTTTATCCCTAAAAGAGGACTAGGGGTTTAATGGACTGGGTGGCAGCCAAGTTAGAAAATTAAATATTATATGCCCTGAATTTGTAATTTTACTTTCAAGACTGGTATGTCCTAGATGTAACCTACATTAATATGAATGATTTATCTTAATGGAGTGCCATTTTGGTTGAATTCTTAATGAAGACTTTAAAGCAAATTGAACCACCCATCAATGGTATATTAATTGTTAATGGTTAGAATTGTAATGGCTAGTCAATAAATTCGGCCCAATTTAAGTCCAAATATATATTTTTTTAATACAGCAGTGAAGATTTAAACCTTCAAAAGTTATTATATAGTTTTACTGTTGAGTTATATTCAGGTTCGTCCGGAACTCAATCACATTGTGGCACTAGAAAATTTATGTTAAAAGACATCGCATGGATATTGCTCATCTGATCACGTTGCAACTTGTGGGATTATGAAGCCTCTTTCCAGAGAAAATTGGTACGAAATTTCTTTTGAATGGACCTTGTAATTTAAGATATATGTCAATCCCATAAATATTTTGATTACTCTGTTTGGATTGTGGTAATCCTAATATGACGAGGTATCCAAAGATGTAAACCCTCCTTTGAAGCAATCTTGATTACGGTTTAAAGAATGTGTTTCTTAGATTCTCTTCTATATCAAGCATAATCAAATGACCACATTTATTCCTAATCTTATTATATTAAGCTAACAATCTTTTGTTTTCTCTCAGGGTCATCTCGTTCTTCGTTGTGACTATGCTTTTTAGTAAAAACAGCTCTCAGAATCTACTCTTAATCCTTCCTCATTTCTCTCCGCATCCTTCTTCAATATTCAAGTATTTATTTTCACACTACATTTCTTACTCAATTTATTTCTGCATTTTTATTTTATGAATTTTAGTTTTCTGCATTTAAATTCTCCTACATTTGATTTTTTTTATTTAAATCATCTGCATTTGAATTTTCTACATTAAAATTTTTTGTTTGTTATTTTATTTACTTTTATTTTCTGCATTTTTTCCCACATTTAAATTTTTTACATATTTATTTTTTCATCTTAATTTTAACTTTTTTGCATTTAAATTTTTTGTATTTTAGTTTTCCGTATTTCAATTTTTGCATTTGACTTTATTTCTATTTTTGCATTTTTATTTTATGAATTTTAGTTGTCTACATTTGAATTTTCTACATATCTGCATTTTTTTTTGCACTTGAATTTTCTGCACTTAAATTTTCTTTATTTTTATTTTCTTTATTTTATTTTCTATATTTCTATTTCTATTTAATATATATTTTTGTAAAAAACTTATATTAATATAAATTAATTTGTTGTACAAAATAACATATAAAAAACAAGATGTTAAATTAATAAAAACAACAATCCAATACAAATATAGATTATATCAAATTAGATGCCTAAATCATATCAACATTCGCAACAACATTTTTGGAACATTACATAAATTTACAACATTCTCACGCATAAATCCGTCAAAACAAATGTGTCTATCCAAACAATTTTTGGATATCCTTATAAATTTTCCTACAAAACAAACCTAACTTTCTTAAATTTTGGACATATGAAGTTTCAGCCTTCAAACATCTGAAGATGCTGGATGTCTTCATTTTTAGAAAACAAACGACATGGACGATTTCTTTAAACACGAGGCATGTTCTCGTTCTTATAATTGTGTTAGATGTTTTTAAACCAGATGTTTCAATGGATTTTGATGAACGAGGGCCATAGATAAGAACAATCTCGTAATTTTTTTTTTTTGGAGAAAGAGACTTCATTGATGTATGTGAGAAACATACACAAAAAATAAGGCCTATATAAAAGTACTCCAATTAAGAGATATAGTAGATGAATCATAATTACAAAAAAGATTAGATTTTGTAGACCAAAGAGAAGCAGTGACTATAATGTCCTCCCAAATGTTGGTTGTAGTCTTCGAAAAACCTATAAATGTTCGGTGATTTCTTTCTAATCAAGTATGCCAAAGAATAACACTTATAGATTGCTCCATAATACAGATTTCTGGTTAGAAAGAGGAATGTTTAGGTTTTCTGTGATGAAGAAATCGACTTGGCAAGGAATCGCACTTTGGACCTGAAAAATGTAAAAGAGACAAAGCCATAAACTTGCCGTAAAAGGGCAATGAAGGAAAATATAGTCCAAAGTTTCAGATGTCGATTTGCATAGTGGACACCAACTGGGACTGATGTATAAATGTTGAAGACAATTCTGAAGCTTGTCATGTGTGTTTAGAGCTCGATGAAGAATACACCACATAAAAAATTTACACTTCTTCGGGATGAGTGTAAATTGTGAGAAAACCCTCCGTTGAAAACCTCGTAATTAATCCATGTGTAAACTGTGAGAAAAACCTTACTATTGAATGATATCCAAAGCTAGCTATTACATCTCCAACAGACTATTTATGGTCTTGAAAAATAATTATTGGTTAAAAAATACTTTTGGTCACGTGCTTTCACTAAAATAACAATTTAGTCTCTGAACTTTAGTTTGTAACAATTCAGTTCATGGACTAAATCGTTACAAACTAAAGTTTACGAACTAAATCGTTAT